GGTGGAAGTGATTATCGGCAGCAGCTACGCGGTTGAGATAACATTTGGATTTCCCCTCAGCTGCTTTTAATTTCCCAGTTTAAGAAGCAGAGGGAAAAGCATTCGTCGCAATCTGCTACTGTGGGTGTCTTCACAGAGGCTCTGCCAGTTTTCTCCTGCCTCCCTTTTATTTCGCTCGGCTGCTGGTGTGTAGCGACATGCGAAGCCGTGACTCAGACATCATTCCTGCTGACGGGGGGCCAATGCCCAGATGTGCGTGGACTTCATTTGCCTCCTCCTCTGAGAGAGGGGCTGGAGGTACAAAAAGAAGGCGCCAATGTGAAGCGTAAAATGTCGCCTGTCAGCACTGGTTTTTTTAACCAGCCCTGTTCCCATGCAGCTTGAGACACTGAAATGACACATTCTTCCTCTGTTGCTTAGCTTATGCCCATTGCTCAGACTCAGGGGCAGGACTTCAGGGCAGAAATCCAGGACTCTACACACACAAAAAGCAAATTTCAGAAGCTGAAGAGGTAACAGGGCTTAGTGAGCTGGGAGAGTCTGTGACAGAGAACAGTCCAGAATCAGAGGCAGAAGCTGAAGAAGGAGAGTGGGTGAAGGGAGGCCAAGAGGCAGAGAGGAGTCAGGCTGGGGAAGAGGCAAGGGTATCTCTCTTTCTTGCTGCAACAAGCTCCCCTCCCCACTTGTCTCCCAGAACCAGGAGAGGCATGAAAAGGGTGGAAGAGCTGCTTGGCTGCATGTAGGCTCAGTCTCTGATTGCTTGGGGAAAGCCCCGAGAAGGTGGGGAATTTTAGTCTCGGCATCTGATTTTCATGGAGGAAGACTGCCAGTAAGGAGCTACTCTACTCATTAGGCCTGACATTAAATCAAGTCTATGGAGATCATGTTTTTGCTAATAAAAGTTAACTCCATCTTTGAACTGGGTGATTGCTGACCGACAGGCTCCTGTGACATCTAGGCAGCCAGAATCTCAGGGCTGGGGCACAAATGCAGCCCAGGGAGTGGATGGGCTCCAAGCCTTTCCAAGCCAGAGTAGAGAGGCACAATTTTTATGCCCCCTTAGTAGAGGCCAAACTGGCCAACCCTTGATATGCCCCTGCTCTCAGGCTGGAGTTTGAAACTGATCTCACTCAGCTGCTGCTTTAAACTGAAACCCTCATAATTCGGCTCCAGCTGTCCGCATTGTGTCCAATTAACACAAATATGGAGAAAGGGAAATGGAAAGGAGCATCAAAATAATATATATTTGCACAGCTAACTAATTCATTGGGACACGGGTGGCGCTGTGGGTAAAACCTCAGTGCCTAGGACTTGCCGATCGTATGGTCAGCGGTTCGAATCCCCGCGGCGGGGTGAGCTCCCATCTTTCGGTCCCAGCTCCTGCCCACCTAGCAGTTCGAAAGCACCCCTAATTGCAAGTAGATAAATAGGTACCGCTTTCTAGCGGGAAGGTAAACGGCGTTTCCGTGTGCTGCGCTGGTGCAGGCTCGCCAGAGCAGCTTCGTCACTCTGGCCACGTGACCCGGAAGTGTCTTCAGACAGCGCTAGCCCCCGGCCTCTTAAGCGAGATGGGCGCGCAACCCCAGAGTCGGTCATGACTGGCCCGTACGGGCAGGGGTACCTTTACCTTTAACTAATTCATTGATGAATGTGTTGGCTTTTGGGAGTCACCTACCCGCTGGTCTCTTCTCTTTCCCCTTCAGACCCTCAGAGGGGAGACAGAAAGAGAGACAGTGCATGTCTGTTCATGCTTTCCCAAGGGATCTGCATTGAAGTCACATTCAGTGGAATTAGCATGAACCTTGAAAAGCGCATAGAGCTGAAAAAGGAAGCGCAAAAGTGTACCACTCTTTCAACTTCCTCCTCCTGTTCTATGTACTTTTCAAGAGAGAAAAAAATAAATAACCACCCCAGCCACCAGATGACCAAGGGGGCAGTGATGGGCAGCTGAGAAGCTTTCAGGGCACCATTGTAACCCTAAATGATCCTGATTTACAGGAATGTAAAGGTAAAGGGACCCCTGATCATTAGGTCCAGTCGTGACCGACTCTGGGGTTGCGACACTCATCTTGCTTTATTGGCCGAGGGAGCCGGCGTACAGCTTCCGGGTCGTGTGGCCAGCATGACTAAGTCGCTTCTGGCAAACCAGAGCAGCGCACAGAAACACCGTTTACCTTCCTGCCGGAGCGGTACCTATTTATCTACTTGCACTATGACGTGCTTTCGAACTGCTAGTTTGGCAGAAGCAGGGACCGAGCAACGGGAGCTCACCCCGTTGTGGGGATTCGAACCGCTGACCTTCTGATCGGCAAGCCCTAGGCTCTATGGTTTAACCCACAGTGCCACCCTTTTATAGGAACATACAAAGGTCCGTATAGTATAGTAAAAGCTATGGTTTTCCCAGTAGTGATGTATGGAAGTGAGTGCTGGACCATAAAGAAGGCTGGTCGCCGAAGGAATTGATGCTTTTGAATTATGGTGCTGGAGGAGACTCTTGAGAGTCCCATGGACTGCAAGAATATCAAACCTATCCATTCTGAAGGAAATCAGCCCTGAGTGCTCACTGGAAGGACAGATCCTGAAGCTGAGGCTCCAAGACTTTGGCCACCTCATGAGAAGAGAAGACTCCCTGGAAAAGACCCTGATGTTGGGAAAGATGGAGGGCACAAGGAGAAGGGGACGACAGAGGACGAGATGGTTGGACAGTGTTCTCGAAGCCACCAGCATGAGTCTGACCAAACTGCGAGAGGCAGTGGAAGACAGGAGTGCCTGGCGTGCTCTGGTCCATGGGGTCACGAAGAGTCGGACATAACTAAACGACTAAACAACAACAACAACAACACTTCGCAAAATAGAAAAATGGGGTACTGAAAATTCAAGATTCAGGTTTTTCCAAGATTGGTAGGCTGTGTTCAGCTCAGTGGGTCACAAACTTGTGCAGGAATGTTTTAAGTGTGCATTGCTAGTGGCAGCTCAGGTTGCCAGTGAGCCCTGCAGGATTATTCTGGAGCCTCCAAGAATTAAAGATTCATTTCCAGGGCCCTAATGCTACTTAGAAGAATTAAAACCAGTAGAGGGAATTCTCAGAATGAATACAAACGGAGAATCAGATCGACTTTTGTTATCAGCAAAAAAAATCTGGTTGCTGCTCCGCAGCAAATTCGTCTCTGGGTCTCTTAGTCTCTGAAAGACATTTCTTCATGACACGAAACCTCTAGGAAAACATCCAAAAAACAGGGTTGCCAAGCCCAGTGGCAAAGCTGGGGATAAAGCCCAGGAATCTTCCCAACTCTCATTCTAAATATCTAAATCCCGCTTCCCTTCCAGGGCTTTACGCCATCCTGTTCTAAACCATTATACTTAGTTCCTTTCTCAGAGCTTAGAAATACAACCCCCAAATCTCTAACCACCAACTTCCACTGCACAGTTATCCTGGTCCTGAACATTGTCAACAGTCTCACTGGTTTCAACAGAACTTTCTTCCAAGTAAACGCAGTTTACATCAGAACAGTAAGCCAGTTTTCATTCATGGTCCTTGTTCTAATTCTGTCTCTTTGGAATCTGTCATGGAATGGGAATGATCAAAGAGTCTCTTCAGTCATTGAGCTGTAGAGCTGGAAGGGACCCCAAAGTCCATCTAGTCCAACCCCCTGCAATGTAGGAATCACAGCCCCGAGAATCCCCATTCCTGCCCTAAGTGATTCTCTGAGAGATGGTGCCTTCACTGTCCCAGGAGCTACCCATAGAATCATAGAATTCTAGACTTGGAAGGGACCCTAAGGATCATCTATTCCAACCCCCTTCAATGCAGGAATATGCAGCTGTCACATACGGGGATTGAACCTGCAACCTTGATGTTGCATGGCAAGTTCCCAACCCCGCCCCCCTCAGGTGAAAATAATGACACATGACACAATTATTAAGGTTAATGGGCTAAAAAAGGCCACAACTTTATTGGTTACGGGTGATGAATGGTATTGGCTTAGGCTAACCGACTATATCCGACTCCAGCCTGTCTGCTTGAAGTCCGGGAAGGGTTAACTACCAGTAGGGGGAGTCCTGCTGATGCACATCAACTAGGAACTCCCCCGGGGTCACCGATAGGGGGCATGCCTTAGGCCCTAAACTCCCTAGGCTTTGGACAGGGCCACGCCCCCGGAATCCTTTAGCGGAATACCCTTCAATATGCGGGGCAGGTGATGGTGCTGCCCCCCCATCCATCTACAGAACTAAACCAATGCCTAAGCGCCAATACCCAGGAAGTTGTGATGATTTGCTACGAGGTAGGCGAAAACCAAGTGGCTGGTGCCAATTTGCCAAGTGGAAAAATTCCTACCAGGCCCCTCAATGGCGACCAACCAAGGTCCATAAAAAGGTAAAGGTACCCCTGCCCGTACGGGCCAGTCTTGACAGACTCTAGGGTTGTGCGCCCATCTCACTTAAGAGGCCGGGGGCCAGCGCTGTCCGGAGACACTTCCGGGTCACGTGGCCAGCGTGACAAAGCTGCATCTGGCAAGCCAGCGCAGCACACGGAAACGCTGTTTACCTTCCCGCCAGTAAGCGGTCCCTATTTATCTACTTGCACCCGCGGGTGCTTTCGAACTGCTAGGTTGGCAGGCACTGGGACCGAGCAACGGGAGCGCACCCTGCCACGGGGATTCGAACCGCCGACCTTTCGATCGGCAAGCCCTAGGCGCTGAGGCTTTTACCCACAGCGCCATAGCAAGGTCAAAAAGAAAACCTTATAGGGCAGGTAGCAAAGAGGGAGATCCCCGGCAGCGTTCTGCCTTTATAGGGCAGGCCCCGCCCCAGAGCCAGCCGATTGGCTGACTAGGGGGTGACACGGCCAGGAATCCCCCCAATTGCGTGGGGCCGTCGTGTGTGTGGAGGGGGCGTGAAGCCCGCAACCCCACCTCCTCCTTAGTGCAGAAGTGGCTTTATCAGCACCACACTCTAACTAACTGAGCTGTCCAGGCTTTCCAGCCTAGGCTTGCGGCGTGTGAGGAGGGATTTCTGGTTGCACGTCACTTGTGGCAAAACCCTAGAAAAACACAATGCAGAACGACGCTGGGGAATTTGTGGATCTCTATGTTCCTCGTAAATGCTCTGCTAGCAACTGGATAATTGGTGCTAAAGACCATGCCTCCATCCAGATGAATATTTCTGAGGCTGATAAAGTCACAGGCAGTGTCAATGGCCAATACAAAACGTACGCAATTTGTGGAGCAATTCGCAGAATGGGGGATTTCTGATGACTCAGTCCTGCGCCTTGCAAAGAACGATGGTATAATATCCAAGAATTTCTAAAGCATGATGAAGAAGCATGATGTGAAATTCGTTATAAAAGGTCTGTATAGTAAAAGCTATGGTTTTCCCAGTAGTGATGTATGGAAGTGAGAGCTGGACCATAAAAAGGCTGATCGCCGAAGAATTGATGCTTTTGAATTATGGTGCTGGAGGAGACTCTTGAGAGTCCCATGGACTGCAAGAAGATCAAACCGATCCATTCTGAAGGAAATCAGACCTGAGTGCTAACTTGAAGGACAGATCCTGAAGCTGAGACTCCAATACTTTGGCCACCTCATGAGAAGAGAAGACTCCCTGGAAAAGACCCTGATGTTGGGAAAGATGGAGGGCACAAGGAGAAGGGGACGACAGAGGACAAGATGGTTGGACAGTGTTGTCGAAGCTACCTGCATGAGTTTGACCAAACTGCGAGAGGCAGTGGAAGACAGGAGTGCCTGGCATGCTCTGGTCCATGGGGTCACGAAGAGTCGGACACGACTAAACGACTAAACAACAACAACAACAAAACTGTTGGAAAGCAAAACAAAAAACAAAAACAAAACAAAAACAAAAACTGAGCTGTCCAGGCTCCTGAGCTTGAAGACCAGTGGGGCGGACATGCTTAAAACCCCAGATCAGGCAGACTTGGGCCCAGCCCTGACGGAAGAGGCACGACATGGCAGCTACGCATTCTGAGAAGTGGTGCGGCTTCCCAAGCGGTGCTGCCCATGCGCCTTTTGATTGCCTTGAGCATCTCAGTCGAGGCTGAGGGAAACGCAATGGCTTCACTTCACAGCAGGGCTTGTTCCCCCCTCCCCAGATCTGCAAATGCCCCACTGAAGCCATTGCTAAATCAAACCCATCCGCCTTGCAAGCTGAGCCGGCTGGCAATTCCCACAGAATGAACATTAGAAGGTGCAGGTAATCGAGTTAGTAGCTGTCAACCCGGCGCTGTCTGCTCCAAATTGGATTCCACTAGAAATCTAATTTACAAAGTATACCCCGCACAGAACACTCCCTTCAATTATATTCCCTTCCCACGCCCCCCGCCCCCCCCGGGCCCCCTACCACCCAAAGATGTACCCTCCACAGTCCTTGCCTCCCCTGGAGAGACCGGAAATTGACAAAGAGGGAGGAAGAAAAGTCTATTCATGGTTGAAACCAGGGAGTCACATTTGGAAAAGCGGACAGAATCAGGGCATATCAGATATGCACATCCCATGCATGGGTTGAAATGCCACATTTTGAAAAATAAGGGACATATCAGAGGTGATTCATTGAGTTGTAGGAAACTGCAGAAAACCAATGGCAGAAATGTATTGTAGTCTGCTAAGGGTGCTGAGAATTGTAGCTCTGTGAGATGTAAGCGACAGTTCCCAAGATTCCTTGGGGCAAGCCATGTGATTTAAACGGAGTAGTTGTGATCCAATTCTTGCTCTAGTGTCCTCTAACAAGCCTTGGCAGAGCAGAAGCCTGGGCAATTATTTTGGAGTCTGTAGTGGTAAGAGAAGCAGCGTCACTTGCCACTCTGAAACAAGTCCCGGTTGACAAGATGTGCAATATAAACACAGACCCACACACCCTGCCTGGACAGAGCTTTGCACAGATGTAAAATTTTCATGAAAGCTGCTGCAATACATTTGTTGTTTAGTCGTTTAGTTGCGTCCGACTCTTTGTGACCCCATGGACCAGAGCACGCCAGGCACTCCTGTCTTCCACTGCCTCCCACAGTTTGGTCAAACTCATGCTGGTAGCTTCGAGAACACTGTCCAACCATCTCGTCCTCTGTCATCCCCTTCTCCTGGTGCCCTCCATCTTTCCCAACATCAGGGTCTTTTCCAGGGAGTCTTCTCTTCTCATGAGGTGGCCAAAGTATTGGAGCCTCAGCTTCACGGTCTGTCCTTCCAGTGAGCACTCAGGGCTGATTTCCTTAAGAATGGATACGTTTGATCTTCTTGCAGTCCATGGGTCTCTCAAGAGTCTCCTCCAGCACCATAATTCAAAAGCATCAATTCTTCGGCGATCAGCCTTCTTTATGGTCCAGCTCTCACTTCCATACATCACTACTGGGAAAACCATAGCTTTTACTATATGGACCTTTGTTGGCAAGGTGATGTCTCTACTTTTTAAGATGCTGCAATACATACAAGTACTTTATCCCTGCACCATTTGAAGTTCCGATGAAGATGAGTTTTTGACACGCTTTCATCTAAACCGGTGAATAAATACCCAATTCCTTATCCATGAAGGGACCTAAAAGCTCATTCGGCAGATGTGTATGTCCTTTTGTTTCTTAATTACCGGTATACTTTTCTAGTTATCCCCTTGCCGAAACGCGCCTAGAGCCACTTTATTAAAAAGAGGCGAAATAGCTCTGAAAATGTGTGCACAGCCTTGCCTTCCCATTGCTGCTCAGGATACTACCTCCCCGGTTCATCCTTGTGTTAGTCCCTTGAAGTCGATTCCTTTGGGAATGACCTTTGGCCTGACTTTGACCTCTGATACTGCTTTCTGCCTTTGGCTTGTCTCTAGTACCTGCCCCGCTCTGTTGAAATTTAGGATGTCGATGCATAGAATACTTTTGATTCCAGAATGGGGCTGTTGTACCAAAAGCAGAGGAGAATTGTTATCTTTTGACTGAAAGTCTACATTTTACCCTTTCAAAAATGTGCGCTTTAAGAAATTTAAGGCAGAGGGAAAATGCAACAGTACATTTAAACATCACTTGTGAATGTAGCCTCGTTTCTCTTGGTGGCTGCTGTGAGGATTACAGCTAGGTCTGGCAGTAAAGGGCACCCCATGTTCTTGTTGTTGTTGTTGACGACCTGTTTTTCGCCCCTAGTTACCAAGGTGGATTACCACCAGCTTAAAATACAATTTAGAAACAAATTTTGAAATATACTCAGAGTCCTGTAGTGATTTCATGCTCTTTATTGCAGCTTGTAAAACAGTGATTTAATTGCCCCCCAAACCTCAGGCTTTTATATACAGTGGTGCCCCGCAAGACGAACGCCTCGCAAGACGGAAAACCCGCTAGACGAAAGGGTTTTCCGTTTTGGAGGCTCTTCGCAAAACGAATTTCCCTATGGGCTTCCTTCGCAAGACGAAAGCCCATAGGGAAATCTCAGGGACAGCGGGGAAGCGCAGCAAGTCTTCCCCACTGTCCTCGGACCTCCTCCGAAGCCGGGCGGCGGGGCGGGAACACCTCCCGCCGCCACCCAGCTTCGGAAGGCTCCTCCGAAGCCAGGCGGCGGGGCGGGAACACCTCCCGCCGCCGCCCGGCTTCGGAAGGCTCCTCTGAAGCCGGGTGGCGGGGCGGGAACACCTCCCGCCACCGCCTGGCTTCGGAAGGATGCTCCGAAGCCGGGCGGCGGGGCAGGAACACCTCCCGCCGCCGCCCGGCTTCGGAAGGCTCCTCCGAAGCCGGGCGGCGGGGCGGGAACACCTCCTCCCGCCGCCCGGCTTCGGAAGGATGCTCCGAAGCCGGGCGGCGGGGCGGGAACACCTTCTGAAGGCGCGTTTCTCCACTGTCCCGGAAGGCTTTTGAAGGCAGGCGGGGGGAGCAAAGACTTTCGCCCCCCGCCCACCTTCAGAAGAGGTCCTGGACCTCTTCTGAAGGCTGGCGGGGGGCAAAAGTCTTTGTCCCCCCCTGCCTGCCTTCCCAGGGGCTTTTAAATCGCCCCGGACAGCGGAGAAGTCCTCCGCTGTCCCGGGGCGATTTTAAAATGCCGCCCGCCAGCATTTTAAGATCGCCCCGGACAGCGGAGAAGTCCTCCGCTGTCCCGAGGTTTTTTAAAATGCTGGGGGTGGGAAGAAAAGCCCTTGTCCCCCCCCCCAGCCTTCAGAAGAGGTCGGGGGACAGACTGTCCCCGGACCTGGTCTGAAGGCGGTTTCCATAGGAACGCATTAATTGATTTTCAATGCATTCCTATGGGAAACCGTGCATCGCAAGACGAAAAACTCGCAAGACGAAGAGACTTGCGGAACGAATTAATTTCGTCTTGCGAGGCACCACTGTACATTATTTACACAATGAGTCCCGTCTGATTGGCTGATTCTGCTTCCCTCCTGGAGCCTGATTGGTCTTCTCCTGCAGGCCAATCAGTTGTTGCATTCTATGATCCTACCAGCCTAATAGGCTGTTTAACTTCCTCCTGGAGCCTGATTGGTCTTTTCCTGCAAGCCAATCAGTTGTTGCATTCTAGGATCCTACTTGCCTATCGTTCTAGGATCCAAGCTTAGTACATAACAATTTTTAAAACTCATATTGTACAGACATGCTATGGTTCGGAAGCAGCTGCCTGCCTTTCAAAATGAAATCAAGTGGGGAGATAACTGCCTTGCTTGTGAGCTGCCTATCCTAGGGACATCTGGTTGGCCACTATGAGAAATAGGATGCTGGACAGGGTGAGCTTTCAGACTGACCCCACAGCGCTCTCCTTCTGAGGGGCATCTGGTAACCTCATCCTGTGAGTGACTGTCACTCCGTTTTTGAGACTGTCAGCCCGTTACTCTCTTTGCCTCTATTGGTTTCAGACATATTCGTCACTGCTGTCACATCTGGCCACATTTCCATTCATTCTGTGACCAGATACTTTCTCTTTTGTCTTGTGACAGAAGCAGTGCTTTGGAAGACAGAGAGAGGGGGGAGAAAGAACCAGAGGAAATCCCTGGCCCCCTCCAGACTGTTCTTTTTTGTGGATGTATTAGCAACATGCCATTGAAGCAATAGGGACGCGGGTGGCACTGTGGGTTAAACCACAGAGCCTAGGACTTGCTGATCTGAAGGTCGGCGGTTCGAATCCCCGTGATGGGGTGAGCTCCCGTTGCTCGGTCCCTGCTCCTGCCAACCTAGCAGTTCAAAAGCACGTCAAAGTGCAAGCAGATAAATAGGTACCTCTCTGGTGGGAAGGTAAACGGTGTTCCTGTGCGCTGCTCTGGTTTTCCAGAAGCAGCTTCGTCATGCTGGCCACATGACCCAGAAGCTGTATGCCGGCTCCCTCGGCGAATAAAGTGAGATGAGCGCCGCAACCCCAGAGTCAGCCATGACTGGA